GGAGTGTGCCCTGCCCGTTCAGGTTGTGAGCTCACTCAACTAGAAGTGTTGCATCCTCCTGGGCGCTGGCTCATGGTGCCTCGCTGGCGGATGTCTGTAGAGCTGCGGGCTGGGTGACCCATAACACTCCTTCAGGGAACGAGGGTTACCATACGTAACCGAGACGTTATTTTGATTAACATGACTTTAAACTATGAAACCAAGCCAAAACAAAACACAAAACAAGCAAAGAACAAACATAGCACAAAGAAAAGCAAATAATAAATAAAACAAAGAAAAGCAAAAAAAGATGACTGAATTCAAACTATCATATGGAATACATGCTATTCCACATCCATAGTTTTGTTTTGCTACATAAAAAATGTACTTGCATGTGCGGGCTCTAAAAAATCTCTAACTTTTTTTTAGTACCCTCATTCTGTCATTTGGTCCACAAACACCACTTTAAAGGAGAGAGAGTAATGCTTATAGTGGATCCATCACAATTAAAAACCCATTTTATCAGGTTTTTCATCAAATGGGGGCCAGGCCCTGTGGTCTAGCCCTGCTAACATAAACTCCAAAGGCCTCTGCCCTATTACTAGACAAGGTAGATCAGCCCGAAGAGCTGACAGGCAGCCTGATAGCTGGCACTCCACTGAAATATACAACCCCTTTTCAGATTTCGAGAGACTCCATTCACAGGTTCATCTGGGGTGGGTAATTGCTTTCTCCATGAAGCAGACTGCTCATTATTTCTGCCAACCTGCCCGTCACGACGACGTGAGAGGCAGCGGGAATCAGAGGTCTAGAAGCGCAATTAATAAAGGAAATGACCAGCCCACACTGATTAGAGAAAAACCAGTTCAAATGTCTACCAGGTAGTTTAAAACACACAAGGTAAAAATAAGCAAATAAACTGTTAGGATGAGTTTAAGCAGTTATGAGCTTACTTGTCCTTGCAGATTACACAGCCCATAACTAAAACACTACTGTAATAGAGCAAAGGCAATAGAGATGGTGTCAGAATTTGAAATTAAATTAGCAAAAAGCTCATCATTCATAAACAATGGCTTTGAACCAATGTAATGTCATTTTTGGGATACATATGCTATCTGTTCCATGCATGTGGTTTATTATTTTAGATAATGAGTCACTAATCTAAGCCTGGTGCTTCAGAGAAAATTAGACTTTGCACAACGAGACTGAAAAACTGCTGCAAGTCCTAATTACTAATATGACAGAGCTTCATATTTAATAAGGATACAGCCTTGGAAGAAAGAAAAATAAATCACAGTAACCTGCTCTGTTTACCCCATGGACGCAATTATACACAAATCGCTTCAAAAACACCTTGAGATTTAGCTACAAAAGGTCAGAAACATGAAAGGGAAAGAAAGACTATAAACTATCCAGAGGCAAACTTCATCAACGGAAGACTTCATTAAGAAGCAAAACTGAGAAACTTTGCTGTCGTTCAATATAAAAGCAATAATGCACGACAACAAGAAGAATAAAGTTCATCAAACAAATGTTTGGTAATAAGTAAATATGTAAATGCAGCTTTTCACACCTCATTTTTTCTGCTGGAAAATCCAGTTTTGTAACCTAATAGCTGGACAATAATGACCAGCTTGAAATCAGCTGAGATTTAGATCTCACAAACATGGTTATTTCCTCAAGGCGATGGTGAAATCATGTTGGAAGGCACATAAACCAAATGTCACTGACAAAGGAATAACATCTCTTGGAGATCAATGGTGGCTGCGAAGCGTTGGTGTGTAACGCACTTTGGCAAATCTGACTACATACCTTGTATCCTGGACCTAGTTGATGGATGGCGAATATCTGAGCAGGGTTTAGCGCTTCACTGAACACATAGATGGCTCCGAGCTGTCCACAGAACACTCGGTTGGCGTCTGCCGTCTCAGATGAGCCGAGGAAACATTTGTCATAGCTCTGTGATAAGCACATGAAGAAAACAGCTTGGAATTCTTCGTAGCAATCTCTCAAAAGTGAATAGTAGGGGAAAAATAAAGCGCTGGTGTGGAAATATAGTGGATGTCAGTATGCAAACTTCATACTAAGCGAGTAATGGTTCACAGCGTAATTGAGATGTAGCATTACAGAGATGTTATTCTGTGCTGAAACCTGCCTATTAGTTTAATCAAAATCGGCACCCAGGAGATCTGAGGTTAAGCACTGCTGGTCCAACCTTTTAATTATCTTACATTGCTTTCAGTGAGGTACAGAAAAACAGAAGCATAGGTCTGTGAATTTTAATCCAATCGTTGAAGCCCCAAGATAATATCTCATATAAGATTTGAGCTGGCAAAAAAGGTCTGTATTTCCACAGACAACTTCATATTTTTCTACATTAGAGGGTTCCATTTTGTTAATCAGAATTTTTGTCACGTTTATTTTGTTATATGTTGTATAGTCAATTACTGATTCCAAATTACAAATAAAATAGTAGCTAGTAACGTAATCCATTACATTACACATTTTAGGTAATATAATCAGACTACTTTTTGATTACTTTTAGATTACTTTTGAATTGTTGAAATGTTGAGAAACCACTTCTTAAAACGGAAATTATTTTTGTAAATCTAGAGTTCAAATGCTGTGTTGCCTCTCAACCAGAGGCGGACAGTAGTGAAGTATTTTTACTTTACTCAAGTAAATTTAAAAAGTATCTGTAGTTTATCACTGTTTTTCTTTGGAAAACTTTGCTTCACTACATTCCAAAGCATAATGTCATACTTTTCACTGCACTACATTTCATAAATAAAAGTTGCTGTTTGTTTTACCTTTAATACTTAAGAACATAAAAAATGTAGTACTTTCTTGTACTCAAGTAAATCTTTGAATTACATTTACTTGAGTAAAAGTAAGAAAGTAATAGATTTCTAATGTAATTAAGTATTAAATGATATTTAGTATAAAACATAGTGCAGTAAAAAGTGCAATATTATGCTTTGGAATGTTGTGAAGCACAAAAAAAACACTCTGATAAAGTACAGACACCTGAAAAGTACTTTTAAAGCAAAGTAAAAATACTTCTCTACTGTCCGCCTCGGCTCTCAACTTTCTGTGCAATTATAACCATCTTACTAGTGACTAGTCTTTGTGTGAAAGTCCATAAAACTGGAAGACTTCCTGAATGTATGTTATTTTAGAACAGTACATTTAAATGATAAAAAATAAGAATTAGGGAGAATCAATAAATTATGAATAATTTATTCTTATTGTGTGAATAGTATATAATTATGTAATCAATAAAAAAGTAACTGTAGTCTGATAACAATTATTTTAAAATGTAATAGAATCTTAAATTTTGGAGTCTGATTACATAATCCAGATCACATGTAATCAGTTACTAGCCAGCACATACAATAGATATGTGTGTGTGTGTGTGTGTGTGTGTGTGTATATACAGTATATATATATATATATTTGCTATTTTACAAGCATATTTAAAATATTCCTAAAAATAACAAAATACTGATTAAGAAATTATTTTTGCAGCATGCACGGCATGATAGGCTTGATGTGTTGGCAGAAATAAACGTCATTTATTTATTCCGAAACTGTGATAAATCAATGCATCTTTCATAGTTTAATTTCACACTGTGCACACAGTGGTGATGATATTTCTCTGAGACAACATCCGGCAGCTACAGACAGCTGCGATAACTGCGATAGCAAAGTGGTCTTACGTCGTTGGTGTTGACATGCCAAGCCATGTCGCCGTAGGAGACAAGCTGTCCATTGACGTAGCAGCGAATCTCACTGTTCCTCCAGCGGTTGTAGATGTGAACGATGCTGATCATGTACCACTAAAGAAGGAAAAAGGTCAGCATGAAATCAAAATAATTTTATTTTATTCTATTGCATAGTGAATGATTTATCAGTGTTTGTTATTCCAAAGGAAACAGACAGATATCACTGTCAAGTTACATTTATATAATTTATTTAATGTATAAAACAGTCAATGAATTACACTGAATTACTTGATAGCAGACTAATTCAGCAATCATCAAAACCTGAATTCCAAGGCCAAATGCTACAGTAGTCTAAGCTATGGGTCATTACAGATTTCATTTCTGTCAATGTGCCACCACACGAAAGAGTCACGATATGGTGCAGTGTTTCAAACACACTCTGGAGTGAAGCCTACACCACTCAGGACAAAACGCATGTTCTTCGCGTGCTGTTTGTTGTATATTTTCAAAATCAAATCAATGCTACATCCAACAGAGCTGTTTTTAATCATCGTTTTCTCTTTTATTCCAGCTCATTTTTAAAACAACATGACTAACACTTCCATTTAGCTACATTTTGAAAAATACATATATGCATGAACTATGGTAATGCTCTATTGCCATTCTGCCATTGCAATCTTTCTGCATTTTTTATCCTCAAAACCAGACCACATCAAAAAACTAATAAAAAAAAAAGTTGCTACACAGCCTGTTATCGCTTATATTAAGTCACTAAATCAAAAAATGCAAAGCTGTTATCAGGAAGAAGAAAAGAAAAAAGAAATAAAAACCCTATGTGAGTCTAAACCACTGGAGATCAGAAGAATTAAACAGTTCATTTACATGTGCATGAAAATCAGATTAATCCAATGAACTATAAAAATGTATTTCTCTTCTTAAACTGCGCTAAAATGATAAACTGTAGTTTTAATGATTATTGGACCACAAGAGGTCTGAATCAGATCAGCTTATCTTTATCGGCTGAAAATGAAAACAGTATATTTAATTTCTGTAAATGTAAATAGTCTCCCACTAAAATGCTCATGCTATTTTTTCAGTTAAGTATTTCTATTTTATTTTGCATTGCATTTAACACAAAGCTGCATCATCTTGTGTTGCATCATCAACTCACAGTTTCAGACAATATGCAAACTTGCCCACGTGACTGCAATTAAACTGTAAAATTTAATTTTAGGAAAGACCTTCAAGACCTTGGCAAACCCTTTCCCTAAGGCTCTAAAGAGCAAGTTTGAGCTATTAACACTTATAAAGATTACACCAGCTAAGAGCATTAAATATTGAGTAGAAACAAGGAAATCATTTATTAGACAGATGTTTCAAAAATGCAGCAGCTGTGCAGTGATTTCCAAGAGATTTCCCTTCGATTCAACACAACAAAAACAAATAATGAAAATGGCCTCAGTTATCTCATGTCCTGGGGTTCAGTAAGAGTTTGTAAACGTGATATTTAGCCCAGTTAACTGGATCATGCATCCTCCGGCACAGCTTTGTGATTTTCGCTGAGCATCACAGCAAGAAAATTCACAAGTGCATCCACTCGATTCTTACTCCTTCACAACACAATCAGTAGATTACTACAGATGCTAGTAGGAGAAAGAGAGAATCAAAGCTGGAAATGAAAGCCTACCTTGCGGGGCTGAAAGTCATATTTCACGCAGTGCTGGAAGCCTTTTCCTTTTGACTTCAATGATGTCACAATCAAGCAATTCCCCACAAAATGTGCAGAGTAGCCGATGCCTTTGCTTGTGCGGAAACTGAAATTGAGAATCAATAAATACATAGAATATACAGCAATTCATAACATTTTTATGTGGTATATATGAAATATCCTCTCTTAAAGGGTGTTCACCCAAAAATGAAAATTAGCTTGTGATTTACTCACAATCAAAGCATCCTAGGTGTATATGACTTTCTTCTTTCAGACGAATCCAATCGGAGTTATATAAAAAAATTGTCCTGGCTCTTCCAAGCGTCATTACAGTGGATGGGTGTTTCTGTTAAACAGTCTAAAAGACGTCAAATAAAGTGCGCGCATCCATAATAAAATGTGCCTCACACGGCTCCGGGGGGTGAATAAAGGCCTCCTGTAGCGAATCCATGCGTTTTTGTAAGAAAAATATCCATATTTCAAATGTAATAAAAACCTTTCTCTCACTTCCGCTATCTGTCATACGCGGAAGCTGTTCCGGCGGATGACATAGGATGTACAGTATGCGTCACGTGCCTCTGAGATATGCTAGTCTTGCGAGTTGTGTTTATTACGTTTGAAATATGGATATTTTTCTTACAAAAAACACATGGATTTGCTACAGGAGGCCTTTATTCATCCCCCGGAGCTGTGTGAGGCACGTTTTATTATGGATGCGCTCACTTTATTTCACATCTTTTGGACTGTTTAACAGAAACACCCACCCACTGTAATGATAACGCTTGGAAGAGCCAGGACAATTTTTTAATATAACTCCGATTGGATTTGTCTGAAAGAAGAAAGTTATATACACCTAGGATGCCTCAAGGGTGAGTAAATCAAAGGCTAATTTTCATTTTTGGGTGAACTAACCCTTTAACATTCCCTTTTTGAAAAAAAGCTTAAACCAGCCAAAGGCATGAACCTGTGAAGCCCAGTTTAGAGCTGGAAAACCACCTAAACTAGATTAAACCTGTTATGACCAGTAATCCACCTGAGGCTGGTTTAAGCGTGCTATGGTAGTAGTAATTGGCAATTGTCTTGGAAAAAAACAAACAAACAAAGAACACTTTAAACTAGCTTACAGTTGGTTTTGCCAGTTTTAGCTGGAGTTGTAGCAAATTTTTTAATAGGGATTTTGGGCACTTTGGCTCCGACCAACTAAACCAGCATAAATGCCAAGTTCTGTCATGAAACCTAGATGGCACAGGCTGATGGGTCATTAACGCAAACTGATGTATTCACAATGTTAAACTCTTGGCACAAGCTGATTGGTTCATGTTGCATACGCAGCCAATGAGCTTGCTGCTTTACATTTAAATGGCTGGTAAGCATTCACTAGTTTCTAGTGAACTAGTTTCACTAGTGTAAAATGAGTACACCCTCCTGAAAGTATAGGTTTAAGGCTATTTTTGATCAACAGGTAAGTATATTGAACCAAAACTTTTAAAGACAAGTAATTTCCTGACAATTAAAAGTGTTATATAGCCCACTAAATCATACTCAGACTTAATGCCGGCAGCAGTGGAACCACTTGGGAGAGAACTGCCAGGTGATTTATTTATTAGCATAAAAGAGGACAATGGTACAAGAGGAATACCAAATTATTGTTTTAAGTGTGAAAATATAGCAGAAGTAGCACCAACATTCAAAAACAATGGAGAAGATGCTACCCTCCCCTCATTCCCTGCATTATTGGGCATTTTTTCAGCATGACAGTGAATATATTCATTCTCCCAAGGTGAAAATCCTTCAGTGGACATGTATTTCACTCAATCTTAACGCTCTTGAGCTGCTGTGGGGGATTCTGTAGAGACGAGCTGAGCAAAAGTCTCCATTAAAGATCAGAAGGAGGTCGTCCAGGAGTTAAACAGCACAGATGTGAAAATTTGTCATGAACTTGTACACTCATTGCCAAGAAGGGTCAGAGCAGTATACTTTAAGTTCTGGAGGACATACTAAGTACTAGAATATTATACATTTTCTGAATTAAATCTAGGGTGTACTCATTTCTGCAATCCTTAATTTAAACAAAATTGGCTAATTTACTTATATTACAGAAAATATTGGTCTCCCAGCTCCACTGGCTGAAAATTGTCTAAAACCCCTTAAATCCAGCCAGTTTGACCAAACTTGGAACCAGAAAACCAGCTTAGGCTGGTCTACAATGTTTTTTAATCACAGTATGTAGGTTTCCTGATATGCATTAACTAGTTTTCTGTTACAAGACAGTTAAGAGAGGAGAGAGTAAAGATATCTTACTGTACGCTTATTTCAAAATGTCAAAGACAGTTTTGTGTTCTCCATTCCCCACAATAGAAGTATAAACTGTCACATACAAGAAACCTAACAGCACAAGAGACCATTTTTGCATCTTCAAGAGCTGAGAATAAGTGTGATTCTCAGCGTGAATCAATACTCTGTTTTTCTTCGTGAACATCTCCTTTTATTCCGAATCTGTGTCACGCACAGTTTGAACTCAGAGTGTGTGTGAGCGGTCCTGCGCTTGGCAGCTCCAGGCTACAGATCTGGCAGCACAACAGCAAGCAGGACCCAGCGCTCACTTTCAAATGCTAGCTAGCATTATTAGCGTGGCAGCCTTTAACAACACTGTTTTGTAACCTTCTCACAAAGTCAGGGGCAGTTTCTCAATTCATGGATCTACATAATGTATGGAGGAACTGAACTCAATAATCTGAACTCAAGAACATGTAAGAAATGCTTTTTGTGATAAACATCTAGCCCATCTAACAAATCACTTCAAGCTAATATCAGAAGCAAATACCTTCAAATATCCCTACAAAAAAGCCCAAGGCTGTTAAAAAATGGATGTTGTCCTTCTTTCTCTCTCTCAAAACACACTCACTCCTTCTCCCTTGAGGACCATTTTCCCTCACTCCTGGAATCCTGGCCAATAAACACACGTCTGCGCTATTGATCTGAGCTCTAATTACCCACAAGTCTCTACATATGATGCTCTTTTTGCCTGGCTGACATTAAAAGCCCAAATTAATGTCTATTTCCACCCTAGTGTCCCTCTGCAGAGATTTTCCAGTGATTCCAGAACACTCTGCCCTGGGTTCAAACACCTATTGGTTTAATCAGCAGAATCTGACCTAATTCCCTTTTATGCTTGCATAATCCACCACATCATCAAAAAACTAAATCCTCTAACAAAGCTCATTATATAAGTGGCAAAGCAGCCAGAACGCTCTCTCTCTCTCTCTGTTAAACACTAAAACAAAGCCACTCAGTTTAATTTACTTACAGAAGCAGGCCCTGAAGGTCATTTTCTTTTCTGCTAAGTAAGTTTTATTTAAAAGTTGACAAAGTTATATATAACCGCATTAAGGCGTAGGCTGTGAAAGTAGTCACCAGTAAAGGTAGGGTTTGTCTTTGTCCACGTTGATGTTGTTCAGAGGATCCATGCGGAACCAGGTGTTGAGGGTAAAGCCGTTCTGATAAGGCCATTTAGCGATGGGAGGCAATGCAATCGCCTGGCAGAAAACAGAGAGCAAAAATGTCTTGGAGTCTGTACTGTATATGTCATGTATGGATCTTTTAACATGCTAGACATTTGTTTATATACATCCAGTGCTTCAAAAAATGTAAATATCTAATGCAGTCAAGTTATTGTTCCCAATATACATATAGCCAGCAAAACAAATATACTGTATATAGAATGGATTTCTCTATAATGAAATTACAGTAGGAATGAACAAGTGCCATATTAGTTCCTCTTCACGAACTCGAGCTGCGTCGAAAACGCTAGGGGAACGCCCTTCAGTGTGACGGGCTCTGAACCTCGTGTGTAATCCGAGACGCTGCGTCTCGGTGCCATACTTCCGGCGTCCCTGCCAGCGCTTGCTTCATTCCTAGGAGCTGACGCTGGTCTCACCGCACGTGCTTTTATAGCCTCCTGGTCATTACGTCACCCGCCGTGACGTCTCGCCCATCTATTGGTCTGATTACACACGAGGTTCAGAGCCCGTCACGCTGAAGGGCGTTCCCCTAGCGTTTTCGACGCAGCGTCTCGTTCCCTCGAGGAACTAGGGTTACATACGTAACCTGAGGTGTTATTGGCCAATATCAGAAAAATGTAATTTATCTGTATTGGTTGAAATTTGATATACTGCGTATATATATACACATTGTTTTAATTTATTATTTAATATTTAAAACATTAAATAATATATAACTCAGTAAGTTTTTTTAAGAAATTAATACTTTAATCAGCAAGGACAGATTTAATTGATTAAAAGTGACAATGAAAAATTAAAATAAATGCTGTTCTTTTTAATTTTATATTCATTAAAAACTGGAAAAATGTCTCATGGTTTCCACAAAAATATTAAGCAGCATGACTTTTTTCAGCATGACAGCATGACTTTTTTTTAACACTGATAATAATAAGAAATGTTTCTAATTATTCCAAATAGGCATATTAGAATGATTTCTGATAGATCACTTAAGACTGAAGTAATGGCTGCTGAAAATTCAGCTTTGCCTTCACAATTAAAATAAAATTGTTATTTTATTTACACAAAGCTTTATAGTGATTTAATATTGGCTATTTTTCAGTTAACCGTATTGTGAAAATGACAGTTTAAAAACAACATTTCATTTAACTTCACAACATCTGAAATATGCAAAATAGGCTAAGAATGGGGTCACTCACAGCTGCACTTCGGCCAGGAAAGTTAAAGAAAGTGTCTGGTCCATGTCTCTGTGCCATTTGAGTGAGAACTGAGAGCAGTTTGATTGCATGTCTTGGCTGTGGAAGACAGAAGTACATGAGAGGTAAGACAAGTAACTTAAGGAAAAACCAAATCACCATAACGAAAATCCCACAGGACCTTCTCAGCAAGAACTTCTGAAATCAACTTTAAATTTTGCCTCACTAAATCAGTTCTGATTTAAGAACGTCGATCCAATCTGTCGTATTCTCACCTCTTTTGGCAAGCTAAAACACATGCTGATCAAAACATTCCATTTTCACGTCTCATAACTAATTGTTTCATTAAAGCCCAAGTATCTCTTTTTTCTCCCCAGAGGGGTACTTCACTCTATCCAAAAACTGAAAACTATTGTGACAACATCCTCACTGTAGCGTCCGCCAGCACTCGATGTTCTGTCAATATCCCTCACTCGAGAGAACGGTGAATCGATACCTGGGCAGTCCTGATCTGTTCTGCAGTTGATTGCTCCAGAGCTCTGAAAAGGCTCAACGATCTCCAAAAGCGGTGAAGCTAACAACCCCTTGGAGCCCCAGAGCCCTACATGAGTTTTCACTCATTTTCAGTGACTTACCCACAATCCTCCTTCTCCTCTCAGCATGCTGAAGAGCAATTTGAGTTCTTTGACGGTGATACTGTAGCTGGCCAGAACTCCCAGCATATCCACCAGCAAGTCTGGGCATCATGGGAAAAAAAACATAAACATACAGACAGAGAGACGTTAGATCTGGATTAACTGAAGTGGGCAGAGTGTGCAGGTAAACAGATTCCCCGGAGCACAGGTGTGTGTGCAACATACACAAGACATCGTATCATAACACAGTGCAAAATAGCAATTTCACAGTAAGACGTGTGAGAGGATCAAACCGCGCCAAACAGACCCCCAGAATGCACCTTCCCCAAGTGCGATGGCATAATTCGGCAGGCCCTTGGGGAACTTCCATTTTTCAATATAACTTAGTTAAACATAAAAAGGTTTCAATTAACTGTTTAAATTGAATTTTTTTTTTTAAATGAAACAGACTGATCAAAATGGAATGTACATAGTACAATGTTTAAAATTGAATTAAATAACAAATAATAAATTAAAACAATATATCTATCTAGCTAAACCTTGCCATCAAAGGAATACATTTTATTATATTATATCACAATTTGAGTTGAATTACTGAAATAAATGAACTTTTCCACGACATTCTAATTTATTGAGATGCACCTGTACATGTGTGTGTGTGTGTGTGTGTGTGATATTTATTATATTTTCTTTATTATTATATATAATAACTATCATTCAGATATTATGGCAGATATTAAGACTGAAGGCTGAAGTAATGGCTGCTAAAAATAAAGCTATCGTTAGAATAAAACACTTTTTAAAATATATTAAAATTAAAAAACTATCTAAATTGTAATAATATTTCACAATATTACTGTTTTCACTGCATTTTTTAATCAAATAAATGCAGCCCTGGCAAACCATAAGAGAAAAATCTTAATTACTCCAACCTTTTGACAGACAATTGTTACACTTTCAGATAAACATCATTTACTATTTTTAATCATTTTTTTCCCTCGTGGGGACCGCAGACCCGTCCCCACAATTTCAAAAATTTGAGGTTTTAATCACTATCACTATCACTATCACTATCATCTATCATCATCACATTTGGTCCCCACAATGTAGCATAAACAAGTACACACACATATATATATATACTATATATATATATATATATATATATATATATATATATATACCCACTTCTATGGTTCACAAACAGCGCCTACAGTTGACTCAGCTCTTTCAATTCAGGTTAAACACTCAGTGTTGCGAGGACATGAGAAGTTATGCTAATTAATGCCATTTTACACTTTAATTTCGAGTTTCATCAAGACTGCTGCTTCCATAAGGCAATTCACAGCCTCTGCTTCTTAGTGGATTGTGATTGTGAAAAATGGCATTTAATGTATGCAGACAGAGGAACATGTTGGCCATGAATTACAGATGGAATGAATCAAAAAACATTCTTCTTCATTCATAAACGGTAACTAAAATTTAATATTGCTCTAAACTGCCACTCAATCTCATTACCAGACGGTGCAACTAATGAGATTTTTCTCTCGGTTTCTCTTCTGCTTTAGCCTGATGAATTCCACTGCTGAGAAGATTGCAGTTTAATCCACATTTCTTTCACTCACAGCAATTCGCACCACTCTCTGGCGTAAAAAAAAAATGGAAATTTGGAAAAAATGGAAGCCGTTGCCCATATCTTGCACGCGCTGTTCAAAGCAGAGCGTTATCTTTGACCTTTTATGCAAAAAAAGTAAACAACAAGCATGATTTAATATGCAATAAGGTTCAAATAAATCTGCTTTTGCAGCTTGAACCTAAATCTTAACCTAAAATACTACACAGGTGAACTTCACAGTCAATGATCAACATGCATGCTTGTGGTATGGAAATATTGTTGATTGCTACTTCTTTTGGAGTTCAATTTAAAACAGTCATTATTTACTCACATTTAAAATAAAAAATGAATAAATAAAAATATAAAAAAGTTAATATTAAAATCTAAAATAAATAAAACATTAAAAAATATCAAAGAAAGAAAGAAAGAAAGAACAAAAATGTATTATTTTTTATTTTAAGATTAAACATTTTTTAATTGAATTAAAAATAAATAAATAAATAAATACTTTTTTATTTTAAAAATAATGCATGTTTATGGTATGGAAACGTTTTGATTACTTATTCTTTTGTAGTTCAGTTGAAATTAATAGATAAAAACTGTCATTATTTACTCACACTCGTGTCCAAAATGTGATATTACATATGTGTGATATAGTATATTTACATATATCTTTTTCATACAAAGGCAGTTCATAGTGACCACAGCTGTCAAGCTCCAAAAATAACAAAACACCATCAAAAGAGCACCATAAAAGTAGTTCATATGACTGTCTTCGGAAGCCATATAAAATGAAGAGACTGATATTTAAGTCATTTTTCAGTGACAAAATCTTCTTTCTCAAAAAAGACAGCATGACTGTTCTGACTATTCTGCACATCTTTCATTTCAGAGCTGTTTAAACATTTTCTGAACCATTTATAGAGCTTTGGGGAAATAGAAAGAAATGGGTTTTACAAGAGGTCAATTCCAAAACTCTGGAAGAGGGTCAGGTTGAGACCACTCACCTGCGATCATGTCATCCACAGAGCTCATTTTGAGCAATAGCCTCTGAATGAGGCCGACCTCAGTGCTGGTCTGCAGGTTGCGGACACTCTTGCGCAGGATGGCGGTAAACATGCTCCAGATTTCCGCCTGGCATGTGACTTCACAGTGTTCCAGCAGCTCCAACATGCAGATGATGGCCTCTGCATCCTGGATGATGAAGTTCATCTCCAGGTCAAACTCACCACCAACCAGCTGGAGCGGAAGAGAAAGAAAGAGAAGGGAAAAGGACAAGGAAAAAAATAGATTAGACTCACTGTAAGTAACAAGAAAGAGTGCTTTTCTTCTAAAGCTTTTAGCGTTTGTTTGACGTCAGACAAACGCAAGTGAACCAATTGTGACAACAAATAGCTTAACTAAACTCAAAGAAACCTTGAAAAAAAGCAGATGTTTCAACAATCAAATCCTTCTACACTTCCGGTCATAAACAATAACTATAATCATTTGGGAATTATAAACACCAATCAATATTTGTGTTCCGTGGACTAAGCAAGCAGGAAATTGAAGATTTCAAGACTTGTCTCGAGCACATGGGAAGACTTCAGGCACCTTCTTCAGAGAGCAACGAAGCACACATGTGGAAAATAGACCCCTGCTTCTCGAGGCTTATTTTACAACATTATCCAAGTCTAACTTGTTGGGAATTCTTGTTGGCAGACAGGAATTAACTCTTGTCACGCCTCGCATCCCATAGATCATTGGTTCTCAACTGGTGGGTTGTGACAAAAATGGTTTGAGAGTTGTTCTGATTGTTTGTTGGAGACAGCAAAGGAAAAAAAAAGTGCACATTGAACTCAACAATATTATGCCAAAAATGTATCTGTTAATTAAATCAAGTAAAATTAGACAGATGCCAACATGGACAGGATGCATGACATGCCCTCAAAAACTTAAAACTTAAATAAATATTAAAATTAAACAAAATCATAAAACAAATTTTTAAAAATTAAATAAATAATAACATTAATTTGTTTTAAATAAAATAAAATAAAACAAAACAAAACAAAACAAAACACAAAACAAAACAAAACTAAACTAAACTAAACTAAACTAAACTAAATTAAATTAAATTAAATTAAATTAAATTAAATATGGGTTAAATTGTTGTGAGGATAAAACGTTTGTGGCAATCAACACAGTATGTTTTGTAAAGTGTTTCCAAGAGCATGAAACCATTAAAACTCAAGAAATATTTAGAAACCAAAACTGTCAAAGTCCAAAAAAAAAAACAGCTCAGAACCGCTAGCTTAAATGAACTTGCTATTTAATTGTCCTGCTGCTTTGATTTGACTGATAGTATCCTGTCTACTGTACTCATTTCTCAACTGAACAGCTGATGGGCGTCATGACAACCACACTTTCTTTTCAGCCTTTATTTCAGGAGTGATTTGCATGGATGTGTTAGAGCTGTACTCTCTAACGGACCGAAACAGCATGACGAGAGGCAGTGGAGGAAGCGATAAAGAGTGCCTCATCCCTGGAAAAAATGACAAGCGTTTCATTTATGAAAACGTCCATCAGTCAGTTTCCTCAGCCTTTTATAACATCCTAATGTGTACAATGACTGACAGTAAAGAAGACAGCAGCAACAATTATAGTATAAATAGTATAATAGCATAAAAAGACAGTTTTTTAAGTTAAACATGCATTTGATAAAAGGAAACCTCACATCAACACTTTAAAAGGACCGTACTGTAAGAAGTAGCCAGCAGATGACACACAAACTCCTCCTATCTTCTGTACAACAATGGAGCAAATGAGTATTTATTCACCAAAAACAATAGAACAATGTCCTGCTTTAATGCCAGCCTAAATGAATCATTATGACAGGAAGGTGTGCAGCATCTGTCTGACTACTTCCTAAAAACTAATTAGCATGAAGAATAAACAGAAAAAAAAATGTTTCTCTGAAGTCTCAGCTGAAAAAACATCTGGCCCTAAAGCTGAACCCTGCGGCACACCAATAACAGTTTTGCTTACTTAAAAGTTTTATGCTGATGGGTTCTCAAAAAAAGATAAAAACAAGAAAGTGGAAGTTTGACAGTTAGTTAAACTTCACTCTTTAAAGCCCTGGCACAATCTATATGATTTCAGAACACAATTTTATACGATATATATAGTTTATCATATGTGACTATTGCCTATATTTTAGATATAACAAAGATCAAAATGAGCTACACTGCACATCAGTTTAGAAATGATCACCAAATTTAGCCCAGTCTCTTTTGATCAAACTTAATTTGCTTTCCAATTTGCAATTATCAATGTCCCACAGTCGTTCAACCAAAAGGTAGTTTCACTGCTTTAATAAGACTTGCATAGATTTACTTCTGTTTTAAAGAAAACTCAGCGAAGTGTAACAGCATATCAATGAGACTCTAGAGATGTTTTTATTCCTTCAATTGTATTCACAGAATCAAGTACAGAATCATAAAAAGCTAATTCACTTTTAATGGCTAACATCAATCTTCTAAATAAGTAAAATATCCAATTGTCATGCAGCGCTGCTCTTCCTTTAAAATAGTGGGATATTTCTTTTTTCCAGTGTATGCACTGCAAGTTTTGTCACTCCAGCCATTGTGTTTACTAATTACGATGACTTCAAGACTAATCATAGAGTTTATCAAGACATAAAATAACAGTTTTCTTAAATGAACAGTCCAGTTCTTGTTTTCTGTTATCACTAAATTATGAAAAATATCATTCAACGTCTTCAATTTTAATAAGTCATACACTACTATACAAAGGACGGAAACCTGTGCAGAAGTGTTAGTGTGTTGCCAGACAAAGCTTGCCCATTCAACACATCTTCTCTTTTAATCACAGAGCTCGTCACACTCTGAAGTGAGGTGTTTAATTGCATGCTCAGATCCCGAGAGTAATTTGCATCCATTGTGCGACAAGAGGTAAATGAAGGCACAAAATCAAAGATTAGACACTCATGGCAAAAGAAAGTGCTCCCTCTCAGGCCAAACAGGAATCACTCACAGTGAACAGTTAATCTCTGTTAATTTACATTGAGTTTGTGTCTAGATTACCGTTGGAGAGTCGCTACAGCTCAAAACACTCACCTAAAATATATTGACACTAATTGAAATATTTTAATTTGCTAGAAGTGCAGAAATATTAGGGACATTGGTGCTTGAACTAACTTTACATCCTCAAATCTGAACCCAAATCTTTACATTTAAATAATGAAGTATTTTAAAAATATTTTTTAAAGATCTTTTAAAGATGTTCTTTTATGTTGCTGAAAGAAGTCTCTTATACTAACCAAGGCTGCTTTTATTTGATCAAAAATACAGTAAAAACTGTATTACTGTTAAATATTATTACAATATAAACAATTAGTATTGTTTTTTTATTTTATAAAAAAAACCCCACTTCTTATTATCTATTTTTAATATAATCTTTGATTTACACTGGTAGTAAATACACCTTCAGCAAGTTTATTTGTGTGAATCTGTTCAATTTAAGTGAATCAATTCAAAACTCTGAATCATGGATTCATTTGTGTCTTCACTCAAACCTAACTTGCATAAAGAATCACTGAACTCAGTGCACACAGACTGTCTGTCCTAAACACAAATACACAGACAGTGTAATGATACAGTGTTTCACTGTAGACTGGAACTATTGTTTTATGTATACAATGCAATGCAATAGTATACAATATTGTAAAATGCAAGATTTCATTTTTTTTATCTGTTGTCCAATTTTAATATCAAATAAAATTTTTATTTTTACAGATTGATTTCTGCAAACCACTTGATTTACAGGCATCACAATGCTCAAAAATCAAAATCAGCATTACATTTTCATTTATCTCAGATGCATACTGTTGAAAATATTCTATTTAAGCATTTATTTAATCTCTGAATACACGAACCAGCACGTCAGCTTTTCAGGTAGCATACAAGCAAGGTTTGCCTGTTTCTGGAGAGTTATTCTTCACCAGATGTGATCAAAAAGTGGCTTCAGGCATGCAAAAATTCAACCAGGCTGCACTGTTTGCGCTTTCGCTTTTATCACCTCAAACCAGGCGAAGACACAACCTTCCTGGTATCCTGCTTGACAAATGTATACATGATAAAATAGATAGAGCACCTGCTCTTCCCTGGAGAGATCTCCATTGCTGCTTGCTTCCTCCTCTCACCATAACTCTCAGTAAATAGGACATCAGCACTGTTTATTTCCACTGTGCTCATAGCCAGCGAAAGCGTGCAGTGGAAAAAAATGGCTAAAGTCTGATTTGTGCTACCCATAACCATGGCAACCGAGCATCTCTGAACCCCAACTAGGGGAAAGGAAGCTCAGTAGAAATTTATATATTTATAAATTTCTTTACATCAAGATCTTTTTTGTCCTCTTAAAATTACCTATTAGAATTGTTGATCTATAGTAAAGGCCTGTTGACACCAAGTACAGACTATAACGATAAAGAAAAAGCCAAAAAAATCTAAAGTATGATTGAGCTGCAATTATTTCTATTAATATTTTTAATCTATCTGCCGCTTTTGACACTGTGAATCATCAGATCCTCCTGTACACCCTCTCATCACTGGGCATCACAGGGATTCCACTTTGCTGGTTGGTCTTTCAGGATGGCCTTGCGAGGGGAGGTATCCAAAGCACATCAACTGGTCACTGGGGTTCCTCAGGGATCAGTTTTTGGACCCCTCCTCTTCTCCATATACACTACATCACTGGGACCCATCATACAGGCACATGGCTTCTCCTGCCATTGCTATGCTGATGACACACAGCTCTATCTTTCACTTCAACCAGATGATCCAACGGCAGCTGCACGGATCTCAGGCTGCTCTTGCGGACATCTTGGCATGGATGAAAGAACATCACCTACAGCTCAGTCTGGCAAAGACTGAGCTCCTTGTCTTCCCTGCCACTCCAACTCTACAGCATGACTTCACCGTCCAGTTAGGTTCATCAACAATTACCCCATCAAGTTCGGTAAGAAATCTTGGTGTTATCTTTGATGAGTGACCAGCTGACTTTCAAAGACCACATTGCAAAAATTGCTTGATCTTGCAGGTTTCAAAGACCACATTGCAAAAATTGCTTAATCTTGCAGGTTTGCATTACACAACATCAGAAAGATCAGGCCCTTTCTAAC